AGTAAAGTGAATTACTTGTTTAGTATTTATATTATACTTAGTTATAATGCTCTAAAGTAAGTAATTTAGCTAGTAATACATTTTGTTGTATTAGGTATTAAATTATACTAAAAACTATTATATAATTAATGTGAATATTGGTAATAATTAATATTTAATATTGACTAAACAAAATTATAAAGAACCGTCAACAATGTCATTATATATAATTTATATAATGATAATACTTATATCATTAATCATTCATACACGCTTTACCATTTTAATTTTGTTTACGAACAAATGAATAATTGAATATTATAATATACAAGGCGATTCACTTCACAAAGCATTCTGATTTTTGAAATAGTAAATACTTTAAACAACGCTATTCTCATATATTATGCAGTCTTAGTCTTATTAACATACAACAACAAATTTGCGTTCAGTAGAACCAATTATGTATTGTTAGCTTTAATATTAGAGTAAATTGACCTATTATTAAATTTAAAGGTAAAATAATTATCTATGTTTAAGTGTTAACAATTTTTCGAACTAAAAATGACCATTTTTAACTTTTAATATTTACAATACTCATATCTTGCTTTAAAATTAAAATATTGAAAAAAAGTATATTTTTTAGTAGGTATAGATTTTCTCACCTTTAACTTTAAGAATAAATCAATTTACTCTAATATTAAAGCTAACAACACAATTGGTTCTACTGAACGCAGATATACTGTTGTATATTAGAAAAACGGAAATAACACAAATAACATATGTTAGTGTAGCGCCCACTGAAAGAACATATTTTTTTCAATAATTGAGAACCAACCTTTTTCTTTAAAATATTTAGTGGATGATTTTTTTTAAAATATTGAAGTACCTAATATCTAAATCAAAATTTAAACGAGTTTCAAGTTTATTTATTAAGGATAATAATCTTGAAAAATTGGTTTACATTAATATATGTAATATTGAATCTAGTATCTATTTATTATACTAAGAAATTTTCCACGTATTATAAATTAATTTTAGTTATTATAATTTTCAAATCATCTCAACCTCCAAATCCACTAAACCTATATTATAGACTTATTATCTGAGCGTAAACATCTAAATTCAAACAGCATCCTATATATTTTTATATGAATCAATTTACTTGATTTTTTCTCATTACTCACTCACTCGCTTATTATAAAAATTATAAGACAATTCTTGTATAGATAAAAACGTGAAATTTGGCACAAAAATAGATCATATAGTGTAAGTACATATACGCAAAAATCACAATTATTATTTAAAATTAGTGTCATTTTAGAGAGGGGAGTTCTAAATGTCTGAAATAATAATAATTTACAATGAAAACTAAAAAATAAGCAAAATAATAACTTATACAATGAACTAAAACCAAAATAATGAACTAATGTATAAATCTAAATGTGCCTGTTGTTTACAACTTTCAAGATCAAGAAGTTAATCACTCGACTATACAACAAATGCGCCAAAACAATTATATAATTGAAATTTTGAGAGAAGCATAGTCCTTTTAATGCCTTGTACAAAATAAAGATAACTTTTATGATACTTAAGTCAACAAAAAGTAATGATATCTTAAAAAAAACCTGATAGTTAAAAGATACCAAATTAAAAACTACTTGACAAAAAAAGTCAGCCTGTTTTTGATGTCTACATTGTATTTAAGACTTATCTTTTTTAGTTCATTAATTCACTATAGCGTTAGTTCAAAAAAAGAAAAGCATTGTTAAATTGTAATTTTGTACTCCTTTATTGATATTAACTTTTTTTAAATTCTGAGCGAATCTATGAATATAAAAGTTTTACGATGATGTGTATGATATTTTTTATTTTTGTGTCTGTCTTCGTGTTTTGGGGTAGAAAAAATGGTTCAGTCTTAAAAATTAAGGCTGGTTACTGGTAATAAATCGGATTTTGCTTTTACTTTAAGAGAAATAAGGAAATATTTTAATCATTAAAATTCTATTGTTATCGCGTACAATAACGGTCTAAATTAATAAAATGATAACTATTTTTTTCAAATTAGTCATTTTTATTTTAGAGATAGTAAATTTAAACCTTTTTTTAAGTTTAATCTTACAGTTATATCATTGTTTTATTACCCTTTCTCCAAGCAGACATGCAGTATTCTATGAGATCTATATAACGTATATAATAAATTATATTTGAAATTTTCACCCAATATTAATATATCATTTTTTATACATAATATAGCTTTAAAAATATTTTAACTCTTTTTAAACTATTGAACGGAATAAGGAATTTTCGATTTTTATTAGTTTTTTTTTTTTGTATGCATTTGAAGTTCAAATTTTTATAAAATTCTTCAAAATCATGAATACTTGCGAACTATATATATTTTTTACCTAGTAAAAAATATGTATAAAATAATCAAATTTTATAGCTAAGATATATATTTAATACAATGTTTGTCATGATTAATACATATAGCCTATAGGTACTAGAACTAGAAATATACAAACACGATTTTTTACATGTACAAGTATATGTTTGTAGTTTAAATTTGTAAGAAATTTTATATTTTAACAATGAATAACTATGTTAATTATTTTATTATGATAAACATTATTTGTGAAGACATAAAACTTGCATGTATGTGTATTATACATTTTAAAATGCTCAAAGAAATTTTGAAAATATGTAGATTTATTTTAAGATATTATCTATTGATACTATGACTACCTATTTTATATTGTTTTACAGTATTAACATTTTACATCAGGGTATTATTAACTCGGTTATACACAAATTGCGGCCCGAAATAAAAAAAATGATTAATGAGTATATATCGGTATATGATTTGCGTCCGGTTTTATTTAAACGACGACTACTCGACGTACTTTAAAGCAGATAATAATTTTAGTTTAGTTTAGATCGTGTTGTCGGTGTAAACTTTCATTTGATCTTTGTTAAATAAATCTTAAACTCTGAAAACACTTTAAAATGACTTTTAAATGATTTTAAGCGAAATAAATAAAACATTATTTAATATTGATAGGTATAAATTTCATTACCATAAAACATCAAAGATTGATATTCAACGTCGGAATTGCTGTAAAAAGACGTGTAAGTCATACACTAAACTAAATAATAAAAATGAGATTATAGAATGTGCAAATACTGCAAATATAATCATAATCATATAAAAGATTTTGCCGAACTATTTAATAGACAACAGTTGATTAATAATTTAAAGTCAAAGGATGTAGAAAAACTACGATAAACGATAAACCATCAAAACTTATTTATGGGGCTTTATCAAAAGACATTCCAACAATGACAATTTATGATTTAACGTCGTAATAATATACATCACGTAAGGTCATCTACAATTCATAATAATGAAATATGGTGTAATTAATATATTATTTATGATATTAAAAAACTAATAATTTAATAAATAAAATATTTTCTAAAAGAATTAAATCAACCTAACATATTTTTAAAATTGAAATAAAGTACTCCGATGTCTACATAAAAAATGTAGGCAAGTGTATACCGCTCTGCTGTACATTAAATATCAAGTGGGCTACTTTTTCACTGAGATAGATATTTTCAATTTAAATTTAATGATATATCGTTTTATATGAAAAACGATTCCGAGAGAAGACGGTCTGTTATCTTATATCACCAAGTATATTTTATGATATAGGTAGCTATTATAAATACCTAGTCATTTATTTTACTATATTATATTACAGTAGGTTAATATAATTTTTTTCGAAAATATTGCATTTATTTTATAATTAGTATTGATTGTATAAATATTAAATATATTATGTTTACAATTTGCACCATAATGTATCAACTCATATAAAAGAAAATTTAACTACATCTTTCTGTAAATACCGTAAATTAATAAAAATAGATTCATAGTACCTATAAATATATAATATCTTAAAAATAAATCGAAAATGTCATTGCATTTAGTAAAATTTATAATAATTTAATTTACATAAAAAGTTTTAAGTTTCCACGAATAATGTTTTAAAATTACCTATAACAAATAATTAATATTGTTAATCATAGTTTAAATAAGTAATTTCGTCCAAATTTGAATTTGCAATAAAAAAAGTTATAATTGTTATTTTAATATTTTTATTTGAATATAAGAACAACTCATTTGGGATCTTGTTACAAGATACCTAAGCTTAGCCCCTCCCCAGTTCGGAAAATAGCCGAATTTAGACGAATTCCTCCAAAAGTTGGTACAAGTCTACCTCTAGAAAAGCTACAGCAGCTCCCCCCCTCCCAAAAAAAAAATTGGCCACCCTACAAGATTCTTGTATACATTTTCAAGTATTTTGACCCAGCGCAGCATTTTTTTTCCACTAAAAAAAATAAATTTTTTTTTGTTAAAAACTATATTTGCGTAAAACTTTCCGTTTTTCTTTAATTTTTTGATTACTTTTTTCGATTATTTTTAAAAATACTTGGAATTTTGATCTTTCTAAAGTACTAACAATTTCCAATTTACTGCCAAAAACTATCTTCATCATTGAAAATTAAAGCATTTTTACTGTCTCAATGATAGAAAAAAAATACATTGTAAAATCAATACATTCATTATTCTACTTAGAATCGCTTTTCACTTACAATAATGAAATTCAAATTTAACACATCCATTAGTGACTCACTCGACACCTAATGTACAGCAAAACGGTAACTACTTGCTAGTTGCTCAGGTACCTTTTTGAATATTGTGTTAGTGTTTTATTTTAAGTCTATCATGTAATAATTAAACGGAGTGTTCTAGTCCTATAATTGTAAAAGTATATTCATCATTCAAGTATATAAATTTTGAAAATTGCGTAAGAGAATTTGATTTCTGTTAATAAATTATTCATTAACTATTTTATATTTTCAATTTGACCTCTAACATTAAAATTAACTCATTAATAAATAATAATTTTTTCAGTAATATCTAACTAATATAGTTAATTTTTTTCATAATATTTCAGAGTACTGATGTTATTAGGACAGGGAATGGTGCACCAGTTGATGATCATACTAATACAATTCAAGCTGGAGTAAATGGACCACTGGTGTTACAAGATCATACTTTTTTAGATGAAATATCGCATTTTGATCGTGAACGTATTCCAGAACGAGTTGTACACGCAAAAGGAGGAGGTTTTTTAACTTTTGATAATATTGTGTTTACATTTAAAAATAATGAAATGTATTTTAGGTGCATTTGGTTACTTTGAAGTAACACATGATATTACAAAATATTGTAAAGCTGAAATATTTTCGAGCATTGGAAAACAAACTCCTGTCGCTGTAAGATTTTCCACTGTTGGCGGGGAGAGCGGATCAGCTGACACTGTTAGGTATGTTTATGCTTCAAATTATACATAAGACTTTTTAAATTGTGGGAAAACAATATTATGTGCTAAATAATATACTTTTTGTACCTAAAGACTATTGTTATTTATTGTTAATATTTAAATACCTATTGAAGTGTAATATGTTTTTGATATTATTTTATACGTAAAAATAATCAAATTTATCAATGGGTTAGCTTTATACTTTTATAAAAGTTTAATTATTAATAAAATAATTAAATAAAAATCTACTAGATCTAAAGGTATCAATGTATAATAATAATAAATATTTGTATTATTTTTAGAGACCCAAGAGGTTTTGCTGTAAAGTTTTATACTAAAGATGGAATTTGGGATTTAGTTGGAAACAACACGCCAATATTTTTTATAAGGGACCCAATTTTATTTCCAAGTTTTATTCATACCCAAAAGAGAAATCCAGTTACCCATTTAAAGGTTACATAATTTAATATACATTATAATAAGTACCAGAGCTATATTAAAATTATATTTAGGACGCAAATATGTTTTGGGACTTTTTGACTCTTCGTCCTGAATCATTACATCAAGTGATGATACTGTTCTCAGATCGTGGAATTCCAGATGGATATCGTCATATGAACGGTTATGGATCTCATACATTTAAAATGGTCAATTCTTGTAATGACGCAGTTTATGTTAAATTTCATTTCAAGGTATTAAAATGAACAGCTTAATAAATATTAAGTACCTATGTTATCAAATAAAAAATATAATAATAAATTTAATAAAACGTTGTATATCAATTATTTTAGACTGATCAAGGTATAAAAAATTTGGATGTTAAAAGAGCTCGCGATCTTGCTGCTGATGACCCAGATTATTCAAACCGCGATTTGTTCAATGCTATTGCTAATGGTAACCATCCAACCTGGACTCTCTACATTCAAGTGATGACATTTGAAGAAGCTGCTGCTAATAAATTCAATCCTTTTGATATTACAAAAGTTTGGTCACATGCTGATTATCCATTAATACCAGTTGGCAAACTAGTATTGAATCGTAACCCCACTAACTATTTTGCTGATATCGAACAAATTGCTTTTAGCCCAGCGCATATGGTGCCTGGTATTGAACCTAGTCCAGATAAACTTCTCCAGGTTATTATACTATGTATTTCATAAATATAATTTTTTTTTTTTAATTATACTGTTTAACTCATTTTAATTTTGGATTTTAGGGACGATTGTTTTCTTATAGTGATACGCATCGCCATCGTTTAGGAGCTAACTATTTGCAGTTGCCTGTAAATTGTCCATACCGTTCAAAAGTTGCTAATTATCAACGCGATGGACCTCAAGCTTATGATAATCAAGGATCTGCACCAAATTACTATCCCAATAGTTTTTCTGGACCAGAACAACAACCTACTTATAATATGTCATCATTCAATGTTTCTGGTGCTGTTGCTAAGTATGAAAATAAAATTAAATATATTATAAATATTTATAAAGTTTAAACATTTTTTTAACATTTTATTTTTTAGATATGATTTAAGTAATGATGATAACTATAGCCAGGCAGGTTTACTTTATAGAAAAGTTTTACCTAAAGATGAACAAAATAGATTGGTTGAAAATATAGTTGACAACTTAAAACATGCTGCTGATTTTCTACAAGTACCAAAATATTTTATTATTTTAATTTTTACACATAATTTTTCATTATTATAGTATTGTTTATTATATGTTTTATTATTTTATAGGAAAAGGCAATCTATCATTTCACTCAAATTGATGCAGATTTGGGTAAACAACTAAGAGAACATTTGAAGTTGGCCAAGTGTTCAAAAGCAAACCTTTAATAATTTTAATAAATCACTTAATTATTTAAAATACATAAAAATAACTAAAATTATTTTTTTTTTTTTTATCTATTATTGTATTACTTTTTAATTTTTATTAAGCTGTGTAAAGACAAACTGTTTAATTACTCAAGTGACTTAATAATTGTGTAAGTTTATTTATTATAATTTTTAAATCAAAACAATTTTTAATATATTATCCATTATTTTACATTAATATTTGATATGTCATTTTGAAATTTTATTTTTTTGAAATTTATCAATATAAAATACAAGTTGATAAGACATGTTAGGCTTTCCTTTCCATTAAATGAAATTTTAATAAATTTACTTATTCTGAGTACTCTGGAAATTTTATATTTTTGGAACTTGGGTCTTTGTTTGCTGTTTGTTCTGCATAAGATTTTTAGCCATCCTTCACTTCCAAATCTTCATTATAATTTGTAATACATTTATAAAGTTTTGTGAAAAAATTTTTTTTGTTAGAAATTTCAACTAAAATTTTTTATTGGCATTTCAAAGTTTAAAATAAGAGTAGGGGGAATTGAAGATTGCAGAAATAGCCAACATTTAAATAATTTTTTTTGTGTCAATTGTTTGTAAGCTGTTAGGTAGGAAATACCTATTGGTAGTTTATTTGGTATTTGTTTTATATTAAAAAGAATATTGTTATCTCTTATTAAAACTGTGGTAATGTTGATCATATAGTAGTACATTCACAAGCATTCTTGTGAAGAACGTTCGAGAATGCATAAAACTGTGTATTAGTAATTACACCTATAGTATAAGTTATCAAGTTATCATCATTATGGATAACGTTTTAAAAATAATATATTGTGTAACTAAGAATTTTACTCCTAAACTACATGTGCAATAAGTCCCTAGTGTTAGTGTAAAGTATACTTTACCTGTTTACTTTGTAGTAGAAGTAGTATTAAATTTAATAAATAAACTAATCAATCAATTTTTCACTTTGCTTATTATTAATTTGGTATTTAACTTGTAGGTATTGAAAAAAATCTAATTTATACATTAATAATTTGATATTTCTGTACCTATACAGTATTTTTTATCTATACATAAATATAGCAACTAGACTATTAGAGAGTGACACACTGACACCTATAGTTTTCACTGGGTTACAATTTAATCTTTTTTTCTTTATTAATATTTTATTGTTTAGGAAAAATTCTTAAAGTGTCCTATTATTATTTTAGTAAATTGTTATTGTTTGCAATCATGGTGTTTTTTTTATCATAACCTAGTACTATTAGGATTAATGGTTAATCCTTTTTGTATGACAGCCACTGATTAATCGTGGCATTGATGAACTAAGAAAGATATAGATTAAAACAACATGTAATTTTCCGTCAATCGATTTCAGCAAATATTAAAAGGTTAAAGAGAGAAAAAAAATCACTTAAAAAAACAGTCGATAAGAGTTATTTCAGTTATGAGAATTATTAATTCTTGATGAATAAACCAAAAAATCAACTTACCTTCTTTATAGGTACTATTACATTGAAAATTTATAAAAAATATTACATCAATTTAGTAAGAGTTAATTAGTTTTCAGATCATTTATTTAAGATATAACAATGCAGGTTTGGAAATTTGTCTCTACGAGTGTGCTAATACTGCTAATTTTCCTGTTTTTAACTTATAATTTTATACACAATTTAAAAAAATCATAATTAAATCAAATATCTTCATTTTTATCCAAAACATTAATAGGTACCTAATGTACGTATTGTAAAAACAGTGGAAAAACTCGTAAAAAAAATATGATATTTTTTAGCGTTGAACTTGAATCCTCAAATCAATCATCAATATATATGCAAAAGGGCAAAAAGTCTGTATGAAGAAATTACGAAATACAAATTTATTGAAACAACAATACAACATGTGATCTTTTTAATGCAATTCATTATCTATTGAATTTTTTTTCAATTTATTAGAAGTATTAAGATCGCTGCTTTATTCACTTAGAATACTTTCAATCAGGTGCTCATTATTTTATTAGCGACGGCCGATGACTATAGAATCATCAATCAGATGAAAAATAGACGTCTTGTTCAGGAGCATTAGAAACTGACACATAACGTTCTGTGATGCGTTCTTATGTTTCCTCAATTAGATCAAAAGAAACATCATTAACTTAAGGGGATTTCTAATTTTTTTACACAATCACATAGTTTGACGGCTCCATTTCTCAAAACACTAAGCAGTATTTTTTTCATTTATTCAGATAGAAAGACTCTTAAACTATAAATAGAAATAATATAATTTTTTAATGTTATAAAATGCAAATAATTTTTATCTCATTTTTTTGTTACATTGACAAGTTTGCTTTGCACCCGATGACATTTTATTGATAAATTAAAAAAATCATTCAATGATAAATTTTTAAGATGAGGTATTGTTTAAATTTTTTGATGACGAGCTCATTTTGTTTTGTTCCGTTCCAGCTATTAAACGTGAAAATAAAATCAAGTACCGTAATCTTTTAAAATTGTTACAAGAGTGTAAAACGTTTAATTAGGTATATTGATTAAAATAAAATATAATAGTGTCAATACACAAACTTGTAAACTGCTTGTCTGTATAGTTAGAATTCTGGGTATAAACGCCTTAGTGACGGACTAGTTTGGTTCTAACGTGTTATCGACACGAGCAGATTTGGGTTTATAATGACAATAAATAATTTATATAATAACAGTAAAATAATTATATAACACAAAACGGTCATGAAAGCTAACCAGAAACATTATACTTGTATTAACGACGAACCTGTACTATATTTTATAGTTAGAAATTCATAAAATTTTTCTTTTACTTCTAAGATTTTATAATTCAAGTTTTCCTACCTATATTAAAAATAATTCTACCGGAAAGTCAAATTAATTTTCTATAAACATTTAAAATGTTAATTTTCACGATGTATTAAATTTACCCGTAAAATAACTATTTTATCTCAAATGAGTTTTGATATTTTGTAGTAATTCAATAATAAATAACTTTAGATACTTAAAATTTTTCAGAAAATGCTTGTATAATATGATATGCATTTTCTATACATGATAACATTTTCAAAATATTTTGACTTTGTTTTGTGTTATTTACTAACATTTTTAATGTCGATAAAACATTTTCGTTTGTTTAAAAAGACTGACAATGTAATAGAAGATCGTCAAGACCTAACATATATTATTTTTATGGATAGGTATTAAAATAAACAGGTACCTACAGAATTTCAGGGAAGTCTCTAGACCTTGGCTATAGGAGGTGCGAAATAATAAAAATATTAATATTAATTTACACGGGATTCAGTTACAGAGTGTAGAACCATTTTTTTTATCTTTTGGAATTTAGAACTAGTCTCCTCTACAAATCATTTGTATCACTGAAAAGTTACATTGATTAAAATAAATCATTATACCTACTACCTAGTCATCATAGCATACCAACTTATTTTATAGGTTTATAAAACAAAATCTCTTTATCTTATAATTGTTACATCTTTTATTTTTAGCAAAGTAGTTATTATCATCAAACTTTTAGTTAAGAACATTGTCTGTGTTTTCACGTCGGTTTTTTACGATATTTTAATTTTTAAGTGAGTCATGAGTAGGTATGAAAAATATAAATATTTAAAAATGCTCATAATTCTCTTAAAAATTAAAATATCGTAAAAAACCAACGAGAGGACGCAGATAATTTTCTTAACTAAAAGTTAAAAAATTAATACCGATAAAAAATGTATAAGTTAATTCACTCTAATATCTCAACTAAACCTACACTACCTATTCAAACATTTTAAACTGGTTGAACGAAAATTTACTACGTCGTACGTGTGTAAAACGGTGACACACATACGGGTGCGACATCCTCTTAATGGCAATATCATTAATATCAATAAACAACGCGAAATAAACCTATAGTGACGGCTGATAGATCGTCTCCGTTCAAAATTATTTTTTTTTGTATACAAAGACTATTGAATTAAAATTTAACATATCCGTCACAGTGTCTTATTTTCGACATCTTTCGTGCAGTACAGCGGTATCCACTTGTCTACCTTTTTCATACCTGCGAACACGTTTATAGAGGTAAGTACCTGTATTATACATGTATAAATTATACTGTATTACCTATATTATAAAGGGCGTAGACCGTTTGGGCGAATCGACTCAAAATATAGTCCGTTTGGGCGAATAATTATATACCGTTTGGGCGAATAGATATATATCGTTTGGGCAAGAATTATTCAATTAAAAATACTGTTTGAGCGGTATAAAAATGCTTATAATATACACTCAATAATTAATTAAACAAAATTTTATAAAATATGAATAATTAATAATAATAAGTCAAAAATCATATAAAGTATAAGGGGTCTACAGCTATATTTGATTCCGTGTACTTGAACTGTTCGATAACTATACATCTTTTACCTCTTTTTCGTAGTTAAAATATGTTCGATTTTTAAATCCATTTTAGATAAATGTAAAAAAATAAAAAAACTTACAACTGACTATTATTGTTAAAATTAATTTTTAAATATTTGTACATGAAAGTATTATTCAAGACACTACAGTGTTATTATGTACAACTTGGACAGCGTGTCTGAATCGTAATTTTATTTTCGATAATAGTGATTAATAACGATTAGCAATATTGCAATAATATCATCAGTACCTATCTGTCACCCGGTTTTTACTTTGCACGCAGGTAAAAATAATTTCACTCGCCCAAACGGTACAAATGATAGTCGCCTAAACGGACTATTATTTTTTTTGGTAAAAATTATTACCTTCGCCCAAACGACCACCGCCCATTATAAATGTGCAATAGAGATATTATTGTCTACATCGAACTATTTAGAAAAGTCAGGACTTTTCTGGAAGATTTTCCAGAGAACCGTGTGTGTGAGAGTTGGAGTCGATGACGTCACGGTGCTATTTAGTATAAATAGTAATAAAATACCATCGCTGTTGATACGAATGTATAATATTTGCCGTGTTAAATACGACAGTTCTACGACACGAGTCGCGCGGTCTCGGAACACTATTACGAGTGTAATACATATTAATATATTATTATTACCGATGTTATATCATAATTATTAATTAATTGTAACGATACACACATGGATAATAATTAATATTGTAATATAACTGCGTAATATATTGTGTATACCGGTTATACCAAGCATACCACGAGGCACGAGGCGTGAAAACGACCACTACATATTATCACTTATATAATTTAGCCTTACGGCTTACACATTATAATATGACGTGATATAAACCGCCGAGATAACACCGTGATACTAAGCACGCCGTGCTCAGCACGGTAGACTTGACGAATTTAACAAAACGTACAAGCGGATTATGGTGCTTAAAAAATCAAAAAATAAAAAAGAAGCGTAATTTGATCGTGAAACTGTGCGTATTCGTCTACCGTTATTCGTTATAATACGAATTATAGATTATCATAAAGATGTGTGGACCACGATAATCGAGTGGATAGATAGGCCTCACCTCTTACCAGTGGTCATATAATTCCGAATAGATTACAATAATAATATTATATTACATAATAACGATTAAGAATCATCTATCCGTGGATACGACTGATCTGTTGACGATAGGATGTGTTATTTAGGTTATCTGTTATTTCGGATTTATTATTTAATTGCACATTGAATAATAATTAATAATTATTATTATATTACTCGGTGTTGTTACATCATTACATTATATCGATTGTGGTTATCGGTTATCAGTTATCGAAAAAATTACCACCGTTGTCATAATACGAATAATACGATCACGTTTATTTGATCGCAACGAAAGACCAAAGTGCCTATTTGTACCACAGATTAATTATCCGTTCGTACTCGGTACTTGGTGATGTATACCCAGTAATTTAGTAGATAATACATTTAAATCGCTTTATCCGTTTTCCATTTGTATATTCTATTGATTATCGGTATTCGAGGTCATGTTTAGATAAAGCTATGAGAAAAGTAAGTGGTAACAAAAAATCTAAAAAAAAAAAGTGTTTGATTTTTATTTAGGCGTAATTTCAATAATTTACAAATAGCCAATAGGTATATAATTAATATTATAATTCTATTTATGTATTAATTTATCTAATCTCGAATAGGTACATACTCGAGTTAATATTATGGATTTGAAAAATACATTATGGTGTAACATGCTAGACATTTTACATGTTCTAAGTGTTGTAGATACACGTGCAGTATGCTTATTGCTTTGTGTGATTCTTTAAACAGCAGTCTGCTGCACAGCTAGAAAAATATGTACTAGAGTTTAAAAGATCATTTTGAAAATATTTTTAAAAATGGAGAAATGGTTGATTCAGTCTATATGGATTGCCGTGTTTGGATTTCTGAAGGAATTTCGACCCGAAGATCCTTACATTATTCAATATTTGACAAATCCACCGATGAATTTTACAAATCAAGAAGTAAGTGTTTGATTTAACGTAACATTAAAGGTTTTTAATCATATTTTTGCTTCAGGTGAATCAAGAAATATTTCCAGTGTCAACTTATACTTGCCTCGGCCTTACAGTTGTTATGTTTTTGATTACTGATTATTTACGCTACAAACCAATTGTTGTCCTAAATGCTGTATCAAGTTTAATTGTTCAGATATTATTGATTTTTACTCGATCAAAGACTGACATGAAGGTGGGTAAGTTAGTAAATAATTATCTAAAAATGTGATTACTAGTTGTTAGGCTATGAAGATATTTAAATTGTTTATAAGTTTATTTCATAACTTAAAAATTATTTATAAAATCTTGATGTTGTTAATGAAATAATGTACTTATTTGTATTACTTCTTAATTGCACTTATACTTAATAATTATTTTAAAATTTTTAAATATTTTGTAGCAAATATATACAATATGTGTAGACATTTAGTTTTAATTTTTTTTCTTGCATTGTATTTACCTTACTAAGCTGTTGTATGGATATTAAAATAGAAATATTTAAAGTATAAAGTACCACAAAAAAAACTTATTGATCTATATAAAGTCATAGAAATATTTATTTTTTTTCTTAAGTGGAAATTGTACTGCATAGTGAGAATATTAATTTACTACACTATAATGTACAAACAATTTTAAATTTTAAAATAATCAATAACTGGTTTTTAAATTCAAAATATCTTAAAAATCTTATTTGAGGCACTAGATAATATTCATACCTTTAAATTTAACCATAGGTTAATTTGCTTAAGTATTAGTAATAGAGTAAAATGGATTCTTATTTATGTAAAATTAAATATATCAAATTATTTTAATCCATATGACAACTTTTTTATCATGATATTTTTTTAAATTTTAAATTACAATTTAAAATTCCTAACTTCTTATTTAATTTTGTAAATAATTAGTTGAATAGTGAAGTAATGGTACCTTAAAAATTATTTAATAATCATTGATTGGTTTATTTTATTTTGTTGAATCTTTAAATTAAACAATTTAATTTTTCTAATAAAATTGTTGTTTGATGTAGATAATGGAAGTATTTTACGGCACCATGATAGCCTGTGAAGTTGCATACTATACATACGTTTACTCAAAAGTAGATAAAAAATATTACAAAACTGTTTCTAGCCACATGAAAATGGGATGTCTTTTAGGCCGACTTGTATCAGCCTTACTTGCTCAAACATTGATTGATAATCATGTATTAACTGTTTCTCATTTAAATTATTTAACATTAGCTGGTAAGACATTTTATTCTTATTTTGTTTTGTTCAGAGTTATAATAAATTAAATTGACATATTTTTTCATTACAGGTGCAATTGCATCAATATTTTGGGCTTTTGGATTACCTTCAATTAAAAATAGTTTATATTTTCATCAAACTTCTGAACATACATACATAAGAGATAATACAGGTAAAAAAGGCATATTCTTTCATAAAATAAAATTTTTCAATTTATTTGGCTTATTTTATTGTTTGTTTTATAAGCTTAAAATATACAGTAGTAGATGATGTATTGAATAAAAATATAATGCATTATTTTCTAACTGTTTTCCAATTGAAGTAAGTATATTAGTGCTTAGCAATTAATAATTTTGAAATAATTTAATAACATTATTAAATCTAAGATTAATTACTATAGAATATACTATACACGATTAATGTGGCACACCCAGCAATCTCCTCCAATACTTTTTTATATTAGATTATACATTATTAAAGTTTATTGTTTTGTTACAAATATATTATGATGATGATATTATTTTCTTCAAATTTGAACATTATAGTAAATATAGGTAAATAGTTGTGTATATCAAGGTTTGTGATATTTACTGATCAACTATTTTGATGAAAATTATTTTTAGTTCTATTTACTAGTGGTTATGTTAGATGATCTTAAGTTTTTGATTGATATGTGGAAGTAATGTGCAAGGCGCCGTCGATTATAAACTGGAAAAAAAATAGTCTTTGATCGATAATGGCGATAAAAATAATTATTACTATCAATTTTTTATGTAATGAAAATCAAATTAGTGGTTATTATGTCTTTGTATAAAAAAATTCTTGAGTATGCGCACACTTAATGATCTGTTGACTGTTTAGTAGTTTCTATAAGAGATATTTTATCATGTAATATTCATAGCTATTAAATTAAGATTATATATTCTTACATTTTGTTGCAGTTGTATTTGAAATGCATACAAAATTAATAAAAAAAAAATAATTGTATGAAGAATTGTTGTTATTTTAATATTTGAGCATTATATTATTTAATAGTTTTAAGATTATTTTATTTTTAAGTTGTGTAATGAATGAGTAAGTGAGTTTATTTTCTGTAGTTGGGTGTATAATGTGTAATGAATTTGTATAATATTTATTTTTAATAATTTTAAGAAATTTCTTATTGTGTCTATCAATCTTATTCGATTTTCTCTCTATCTTTATCACTAATTATCAGATTGGTTTACATTTTTTCTATGTTTGTCTCTGTCGTCCACTTTTATTTACAATAATTGTTAGTCCAAACTACATTTCTTATTTTTTGCTTATTTAATTATTTATACTTCTAAAATATGATTATTGAGTACTACAGTATTTAAATAAATGAACAATAAAATAAAACACTATTAAAATTAAATAATTTTATGCTGAGACATAGAGATATAGTTTTCAGATATTGTTAACTCACTATATTTAATAATAATACATATTATGTCATAGTACAATTATATATAAAATGTTTTTTATTGAATTATTCTTATAAAGGGAATATGTTTTGCTTTCCTTACCTAAGTGCAAAATAATATTTTACTATTTTATTGTAGATAGTATTGACATTTATTGCATGTAAATGTGTTAAATTTTATAAATTTAAAAGTTGATACCGAACTGAGTTTAATATTGTTGATGTGACTAAATATTTACACCTGCTTTTTATTTTATTATTTTTGAGATTCATTCGAATAATTTGAAAAATTAGATTGTTTCAAGTACAATATCAATATGTTATAGGTAGGTATACATTTTTAATCTATAGAAACATTAGAAACATAGATTCTTAAATATTAATGGCGTTTGAATCGTTTTGGCCTTTTAATTTTTTTTTAAATAATTCATATGTATATGGTTGTACAATTAATAGCTTTCTAGTTTCCTTGCTTGAAATCTAAAACAATTTTATGTGTACTAGAAAGATATTGTATATTTGTTGTTTTATATTAAAACATTACTTTGTCATCCATTTGTGATATAGATAATTTGCCATGTCGATGTTTTATAGTGAAAGGTCAACTTTAGGTTTAATTAACCCCCAAAATCGTTAAATAATTACAGCACAATACTTTAAAAACCCTTAATTCTGCCTTGTGCTGCTCTACATTTAAGATTGAATAAAAAAATATTAGCCGATAAGTGCATAGGTATGCTGCAATCTTTGTGATAGGGTGTGCCGCCTTTAGTTTTAATGTATAACATGTATACAACCATGCACTGCATCTTATATTTTTCTTAAAAGTTACTCAAGTGACATAGTGGTATACAATCGCTGAATTAAGTGATGACGCCGATCGTGGATCGATGATATTCGCTGACCCACGTTACGGATTGATTTTCCGGTTGAGATCAGTAATATTATGTATATATATTATAAACTATCCAGTTCGCTATTAACCGCAGTAATTCGACTTCACCAATTTAAGATCGCTTAAAAACAGCCCATTAGTTATATTACAGGTGGTTTCCGTGTTACATTTCATAATTCGTTAAATGTAAGACATTATTTGAAACCAGTGGCGTATTTTGGGTTTTTTTTTGGGGGGAGGGGGGTAACCATAATATTTTTAATAATCCGGTTAAATTTGAATAACTTTTGGATATTTCAGACAAACTGAACTTAGTTTAAAAATTATTTCGAAACGTATCGTTGGATTTGATAAAATTTCACCCTTGCAATTTGGATAGATATGATTAAATACTAATATATGAAGTTATTTTTTTTTTTGGTAATTCAGAGGTGTCCAGACATGGAGAACAACCCCCCCCCCAAAAAAAATGTAAAATAAAAATACGCCATTGTTCGAGATAGTATTCCTTTTTTTACGAATTATAAGGGGCGCGGAAGACGCCCTACCGCCAAACTGCTATAGCCCATGTGCAATGTTCAATGCAAGGCTCATAAACATGCGTTACAAGAAGATTAATATTGGACGTCCTCTATATTTATGACCAGCTCATAATAATATTAAGTCTCCAAAAGGTCAGTAGCCTGGATCGCAATCCTCCGTTATACGAGAATTAGTAGCGTCTTCAGTGAGCTATTTGAGGTCTTTGTCCACCCTGTGTGTACGTCAATGGATAAATGTTAAGTCTGATTTATGGTAGATCTTTGTGTGTAAAATATACACTTACGGTTTGATTGGTTGAGAAATGTTTGACTTATTTTTAGTTAATTATAGGATGACAATTGTACAGCGAAGTGTTATCGGTAGGCTTAAACCTAAAATAAACTATTATATAGCACATGTAGTTTCTGACTAATATTTTGCATTACTTAACTATGCATGTGTATTGGCTAAATCAATGTCTAATCATAAGAGTTTAATTCAAATAATTTTTGTTTGCATTATGTATATGATAAATGTACATTCGATGTTAGCTAAATTTATAGAATATACTAAGGTACTCGTATATTAGATACAGGCGATACATCTAGTGACTGAATATATAATTTATATTTAGTTAAAATATTAATTTATTATTTCATGATTTACTTCGAAGATGATATCATAAAAACATGTTTATGATGATATATTAAAAAACCTATCAATATTCACTTTGTTAAATTCGAATTCAATGATAATTATTGCATTATACGAAAAATAACTCATGAAAAGAGACAAAGATAGATTAAAGTAACCTAACCCAATCTTGCCTATATTTTTAAAATATTTCATAAAATACTTACATTATTATCATAGATTTGTTATTTTAATATTGTAATTAACTTTTAAGAATGATGTGAATTGATTCTTGGTATAAGTAGTTTAAAATTAATCTATATATTTTGAAAATAATATAAGTAATATTGTAATGTTTCAAGTTTCTCTAATTAATATTTATTAATCTGCAAAAAAATTAAATTTTACTATAAGATATTTAAACGTAAAACTAACAATTTATAACTA